GGGGGGGGTACACAAACATAATAACGGCTATTTACTTTCATGAAGAAGAAAACTGACGGATGAGAATGGGCTTGTAGACAGCATTCTCCGACCACCTGCACCGAGCCTCTACGAAGTCATGAGGCCCTTGTCAACTCGTAACAGAGGCATCAGAGCAAAACAACCACAGGCTGTACAAAATTCATTGCAAGCATATGCTGCATAATAGATCATCCAACATCAAAGCGCTAAAAATAGTTCAAATGCGTATGAAGAGTAGTGGATATTTTCGGGCGACTTAAAAGTAAAAAACCGTTAAACTTTCGATTGAACGCACATTTTATATGTTGAGCATACTACACCTTAACAGATCTTTCAAATTTTGCTCACACCAGCAAGTTATCTGTTGGATTTGACCGTATTCTTCTACTTTCGGAGAAAAGAAAATGCCATATTCAATCGGATACTGTTGCCCTTGGACATAATATCTTAAGCCCAGTCTCAGAAATACTCCAGCAATTGTGTCTCCAACGTACCTGCAAGCCTAATATTATCTTGACATGAATAGCCGAACTCGCTTCAAGATAAATTACTCTGCATAGCTCAAGAACTCGACAAGGAAGAACCTGCACGGTTGCACGGAAACTTGAGATTCGACTTTCAAAAAAAGAAAAAGGAGTGCATATTGTGACATCAGTTCGGATTATCTTCCGCGAACTGTTTGATAAAAATCAGCACTATCTGAATTTCGGCAGCGCACAATTTCTCCAGCTCAGCTGCTTACGAATAAGTGATAGGCTGGTAACCGAAATGTACATAATACAATGTTCTCATAACATTCTTACTGGTGGATTCTTTTCCTCGATTACTAGTTTTAGTTTTAGTGAGAATTTTACAGCACTTGTAGCGCAAACAGGCCGTATACACTGCAAGAGCCGAAGGTTAGAAATATTATTATTAGAGAGTAACACACACACACAAACACACACACGCACACGCGCGCGCGCGCACGCACGCACGCACGCACGCACGCGGGCACATTAATGCACATTCATGCACCAAAACGCACACATGCTCTCACAACTTCGCATCCGTACCAGAAAACTTATCACCCCCCCCCCCATCCCCCAAGGTGCCATTGTCATCTCACCACTCAATCTCAGAACAGTACATCAAGTAACCAGATTTAAGAGCAAGTACCAGAGAGAGAGAGGGAGAAAGGGAGAGAGTGAGAGAGAGAGAGAGAGAGAGAGAGAGAGAGAGAGAGAGAGAGAGAGAGAGAGAATGGGCAAGGTATAATGCAAACAGATACTGTGACATCAAACTTTTACCCCACTGTTTGCGCACTGGCGAGAGGGCAAAGATGGCAAACTCGACGCCGATACAAGTCCGGCTAAGTAACTGTTGACACCAACGACTGTGCAGTTTGCAGATCGTCGACTGGTACAAGAGATTTATAAGAATTGAAAAGAGCTTGAAAGCTTCAAAGGAAAGAGAGATCGTTGCTTGCCTCTCGCACCGACTGTATGTTTGTGTGGGCTTTGGGAAAGCCATACTGAAAAAGTAGGTCAGATACGGTAGGTCAGACAGAAAGTGAAATAATAATTTTGTCCGGGATCAGTGAACTACTGACCAGGTGACTAAGGAAAATATTATGGTAAGGGGTCATTGTCCCAATATGTTTTTTTCTTTTGTCGTGTTCCGGTGCATTGTTTTGTATGGTTGTTTGAGAAATAAAACTGCATCGACACAGAAAACGCTCATTTAGTGCTTGGAAAATGTAAGGCAGATAGACAGCTACAACAAAGGGAAAGAAAAAAGTGTCATGTTTCAACTAGCCCCGTGCACATGCATAAATCACGTGGCTGAGAAGTACACAAATACAACAATAGTCACGTAGCGGTGGAAAAGAGGAAAACAAACAGACAAAAGACAGTAATAGAGGGACAGTAAAGAAGGAGGACTTTTCTTGTCCATAGGCGCCCTCCAGCCACCCTCTCTTGGCTGTGGAGTTTAACTTGTAACTTATCTTTCTAACTGGCGTCCCTGGAGACGGTAAACGTGGTCAACACCCATCATCTCCCATTAAAACATTCCAATAAAGACCCCAAAGAAACAAACTTATCAGATCAATGTTCATACCAGCTCTATGCTACCAATACCAAACCCGGACCCTCAACAAATCACAGCAATGTAAAATAATATAAGAAATGAAATGCTTTAGTACATCTTAAACATCACGATAAGTGACAGGCAAAGAAACGGGAACAGACGAGCGGGAGACGAATCGAGCGTGAAATACACCGAGATAGAGACACACAAAAAAGTGGTAAAGACACTTTATGAGAAGGGGACCACAACAGCCAGTCTAAAGGCCTACAGCATACGATTCAATGGCTTCAAAGAAAAAGGAAGGCCAAGACAAAAATAGATCAATGGATCAATGGATAAATGGATAAATGGAGAGGCCATTAAAGGGTATAAAATGGAAGTGCAAGAGGGCAGGAAAAGTAACCCCCCCCCCCCAGAAAAAAAAGAACAAAAGAAAAAAAAGAGTCAATTCTCTGGAAACAGATAAGGACAGGGGGCAAAAAATGAACAGAAGTTGTTAAGGGAGGGTGTACGAGTGCGCCAGTTGTTTAACTTAATGTGGAAAATAAATTAATGTAGATGGATTTACGTCCCCATCGATACGGCTTAGATAATTTAGAAGGTAAGCTTCGACTCTGTCTGGGCCAACTAGGGCTGTGAGGAATACAAAGTTACGTCCCAGCAGAAAGACCGAGATACTCGATAAAATTGTTCCCCTCACGGGAATCGAACTCATATTATCTTTTGTGTGTGACGGTGAAGCACCTAACCGATACACCACAGACACTCGCTCAGTAGTTATTTGATCAGGAATCAAAATACTAGATCCAGAGCGCTCACCAAGCACTTGTCGCTTAACATGATATATTATGTTAAAATGGGAAACAAATTAACAATACATTATGGCTCAATAACATTGGTTGTTTACTCTCTATCTCTCTTTCTCTCTCTCTCTCTTTCTCTCTCTCTCTCTCTCTCTTTCTCTCTCTCTCTTTCTCTCTCGCTCTCTCTCTTTCTCTCTCTCTTATTTCTCTTTCATTCTCTCTCTTAACTCTCTCTCTCTCCCTCCCTTCCTCTCTCTCCCTCTCTCTTTCTCTCTCTCTATCTCTCTCTTTCTCTCTCATCTCTATCTATCTCTCATCTCTATCTCTGTCCATCTCTCTCGCTCTCTTTCCCTCTCA